GCCTAGATTTTCACTCTTGCCAGGATGTAACAAGATGCCCCCAGCCATTTTGCTGGGATAGTGTTAGAAAAGGCCAAGTAGGAAGCTGGATTTTTGTTGTTGTTGTTGTTTGTTTTCTTTTTGCTTGTTTGAGACGGAGTCTTGCTCTGTCGCCAGGCTGGAGTGCAGTGGTGTGATCTCGGCTCACTGTAACCTCCACCTCCCGGGTTCAAGCGATTCTCCTGCCTCAGCCTCCCGAGTAGCTGGGACTACAGGCGCCCACCCCCACGCTCAGCTAATTTTTATATTGTTAGTAGAGACCGAGTTTCGCCATGTTGGCCAGCTGGAATTTTTACCCAACATGGTGAAAATGAGGCTCCACCTCAGTGATATCAGTGGAGACTACATGTGGACCCTGACTTCTACCCCTATCCAGCAGTAACAAAGTGTCCTCACTGGGGTGATGACAGAGGAGGATCTAGTGAAGAATCAGGATTTTACCACCACCAACTGGCAACAAGCACTCCTACCTGTCCCAGCCAAAGAGGTATCAGTGAAAGCCTAGTTGAGAGCTGGAACTCCATTCCTGCCCTGTCCTTGCCCCCCATGTCAATAGAGGCTGAGTAGGGAACCTGGACTTCTACCTTTACCTGGCATTAATGAAGCAGCATTACAACCCACCGTTTCACTGACACCCACTGGTGTCAGAGGAAGCCAGTTAACACAGAAGGTTTAAATAAAATCCAGAGTCTCATAACATAATACACAAAATGTCCAGGTTCCAACTAAAAATTACTCATCATATCAACACTAGGAAGATCATAAATCAAATGAGAAATGACAATTAACAGATGTTAATGCCAATGACAAAAATGTTAAAATTATCTGATGAAGATTTTAAAGCAGCCATCATCAAAATGTTTAAGCAAGCATTTATGAACATGCTTGAAACAAGTGAAAACACTGAAAATCTCAGCAAAGAAACAGAAGATATAAAGAGGAACACAATAGAAATTATAGAACTGAAAAACACAACAATTGAAATAAAAAAACTAAAACTAAGCGATGGGCCCAACAGCAGAACGGAGAAGAAAGGGGAAAGCATAAGTGAACCAGGGCTGGGCACAGTGGCTCATGCCTGTAATCCCAGCACTTTGGGAGGCCAACGTGTGTGGATCACTTGAGGTCAGGAGTTTGAGACCAGCCTGGCAAACATGGTGAAACTCTGTCTCTACTAAAAATACAAAAATTATCCAGGCATGGTGGTGGGCACCTGTAATCCCAGCTACTCGGGAAGCTGAGGAATCTGTACATAAATGTACAGATTTAAGAAGCTGAACAAACTCCAAAGAGAATAAACCCAAAGAAATCTACAACAAGACACATCATAGTCAAACTTCTGAAAACTAACAACAACAACAACAAAATCTTTTTTTTTCTTTGCAGAGGTAATTGAGTTAAAAGAACAATAAAAATCTTGAAAGCAACTAAGGAGATACCATTGGGGGAAATAATATTAAAGCAGAGATTTCTCATCAGAAACAATGGAGGCCAAAAGGAAGGAACACATTTTTCAAGTGCTGAAAGAAAAGAGCCATCAACCCAAAATCCTACATCCAGCAAAAATACCCTTCAGGAATGAAACAGGAAATCAAGACAGCCTTGCATGAAGGAAAACAAAGGGAATTTGTTGCTAGCAGATCTACTCTTAAAGAGTGACTAAAGGAAGCTGTCTTAACAGAAAGGAAATAAGAAAAGGAACCTTGGAATATCAAGAAGGAAGAAACAACATGGTAAACAAATATAAGGGTAAATACCATAAACTTCCTTCTCTTGAGTTTTCTAAATCACATTCAATGGTTGAAGAAAACTTATAATTCTCCAACCTGGTTCTAAATGTATTCAGAGGAAATATTTAAGATGAGCATATTAAAAATAAGGGAGAATAAAGGGACATAAAAAGAGGTAAGATTTCTAGCCTGAACTGGTAAAGTATACTAGTAGACTGCATATATAATATAATGCCTACAGCATTCAGTAAGAAAACCATACAAAGACATACACTCGAAACACTACAAAAAATCAAAAAGAACTTCAAAAAATTATTCAAGTAACAGAAATAAAAAACAATGAAAACAAACAGAAAACAAAGTTTAAAATGGCAAGCTTAAGTATAAATGGTTTAAATACGCCAATTAAAACACAGAGGTTGACAGAATGAATTAAAAAACATCACCCAATAATATGCTGTCTACATGAAACTCACTTTAAAAATAATGATACATGCACATTGAAAAGGACAGAAAAAGATATGTAATGCAAGCATTAATCAAAAGAAAGCAGGAGTGGCTATATAAACATCAAAGCAGACTTCAGAGCAAATAAAATTACCAGAGAGAGAAAGAAACATTACATAATGATAAAATGGTCAACCCATGAAAAATACATAGCAATCCTAAATGTGCATGCACAAAACAACAGAGCTGCAAAACTTGTGAAGTAAAAACTGACTGAACTGAAAGGAGATATAAACAAATCTATAATTATACTCAAAGACTTCAAAACCATCTCTCAACAACTGATGAAACAGCTAGAAAACCAGCAAGGATAAAGAAAAATTCAAAAACACAATTAGACAACAGGATCTAATCAAAATTTATAGAGCCCTCTACCGAGCAACAGCAAAATATACATTATTTTCAAATACCCATGGCACCTACACCAGGACAGACCACATCCCTGGTCATAAAACAAATCTCAAACAAACTTTCAAAAATCAAAGTCATATAGAGTGTGTAACTGGACATAGTTGAATCAAACTAGACATTTATAACAGAAAGGTAGCAAGAAAATATTCAAACACTTAGAAACTAATCAACACACTTTTAACTAATCTATAAGTTAAAAAGAGGTCTTAAAAGAAATTTTAAAAAATACACTGAATTGATTGAAAGTGAAAATACAGGCTGGGTGTGGTGGCTCACGCCTGTAATCCCAGCATTTTGGGAGGCCGAGGCAGGCAGATCACCTGAGGTCAGGAGTTCAAGACCAG